GGGGCTCACAGGCAGTGAAGGAGGTGAGGGTGAGGGGCTCACAGGCACAGTGAAGGAGGTGGGGGTGGGGGCTCACAGGCACAGTGAAGGAGGTGGGGCCCCAGCCCAGGCTGCGGGCACTTCTGTTGCTCACTGCTCGAGACGAAGGCAGTGTTGGAAGCGCGAGGAGAGAGCGTGTGCAGGGCTGACTTAGACAGCCGTGTGGCTGGGGTGGGCGTGGGTGGCCAGTGGGAGGATCCAGCCTGCTCAGTGGCGGCTGCTGTGAGGGAGGCTTCCAGAGTTAAACGTGACAGTCCTGACTCAGGAAGTGAAGTCAGGCTGTGGCCCCTTACTCAACACCTGAGCAGTTAGAGGCCCGTCCAGTATCGGGAAGGACAGGAGGGTAAAATGAGGGGGTTTTCCCCTTCCTGCTTACAAACAGAAGGCAGGTGCCCCTGGAGGGGCTGCTTCACACAGGTGAGGGCGGAGGTGGGAGTGAGCCTCAGAGGGCAGGATGGGCTTTCTTCAGTGGCCTGTGTTTTACTTCTTTTGCTCTTCGAGGGCAGAAGAGAGGGGCAGGACTTTGCACAGTTCTGAGCTGTGGCCAGGCCAGCCCAGTGTTGGGGTCACCCCCACCTTCTTCCTTGCCCTGTACAGATTCCTGTGGAATCCTTGGAGCTGGGCAGTTCTAGAGACCCAGAGAGCTCCGGACAGCAACCCATTTTTGGGAGAGGCGGGTTGGCCCAGTGTCTAGCCCACAGCCTTTAACAAAGAGTCCAAACCAAAGCCACCCAAGCACCAACTGAGAGTCCAGAACCCCAGAAACTGTACATAGAGTCCCTGGGTGGTGCGAACAGTTAACGCTCTCGGCTGCTAACCAAAAGGGTGGAGGTTCAAGTCCACCCACAGGCGCCTCAGAAGAAAGGCCTGGCGATGTGCTTCCAGAAACTCAGCCATCGAAAACCCTGTGGAGCACAGCTATTCTCTGACTCGTGGGGGCACCATGAGTAGGTTGTTTCTGTTCTTGAGAGGGTGTGACTGAGTCTCAGGGTTCAGTGACCCTTAGAAGTTAAGGTCACCTCTTCTAGCCCTTTGGAAAACTGGCCTGGTCTCAGCTCCAGGGGGCTCCCCTGGGTCCCTGAGGGGCTGCACTAATACCTCCTCTCTCTCTGTCTCAGTAGAGTCTGGACGAAGTCAGTAGAAGTGACTTTGGCCGGAAAATCAAGGAGGGTGTGGAGGAAGCAGCCAAGACGGCCAAGCAGTCGGCCGAGTCGGTCTCCAAGGGCGGAGAGAAGCTGGGCAGGACCGCAGCCTTCAAAGCCCTCTCGCAGGTGAGCCCAGGCCTGGCCCAGGGGCTGTGGTCGCGGGGAGGCTGGCGCCGGGCTGGGGCAGGCGGTCCGGGCCGGCCAGACCTGCCCGTCGCGAAGGCCTGCTGCAAACACGAGACTCAGGTCAGAGTTCACATCTACGCGCTCAGCCTTTGGGAGGGCCGGCTTCCCCGAGGGGTGAGGGGTGCACGGTGGGCCTGGTGGGGAAGGTCCACTTCAGACGTCAGCTCCCCTGAGGGCTTTGCAGGTTAGCACGTGGGTATCCTCCAGTTTGCTCTTCGCTGCTAGCACCCTTGGCTTTTGTCCATAAACCGGAGCTCTGGCGGGCTTGGGGCAGCTTGAGGCCATGAATTCATCCTGTAAACGTCTGTTAAGGTCTAACCTGTGCTGGGATCTGTGCTGGTCACAGGGGCCACAGGAGAGAAAGTCCAAGTCCCTGTTCTCAAGGGGCTCACAGAGCCAGGAAGGGCACCTGAGCTGCTGTGACAGAGGAGCACATGGGGCCCCTGTGGGGCACCTTCTGTGCCAGCGAGGGGGGTGGGCCGTGAGCACTGCAGGCCAGGGATGGGGACAGCCCGGCAGAGGCTCTGAAGGAAGAACAAGCGAGGCTGGATCCCAGCACCACACTGCAGCAGTGGCCTACGCAACTATGTGAGCAAGGCCAGGAGCAGGCAGAGGGCAAGCAGGCCCGTTGAGGCCTGTTCCCAGCACCACACGGCGACAGAGGGCAGGCAGGGCCCATCGCGGCCAGTTCCCAGTACCACGTGGTGGCAGAGGGCAAGCAGGGCCCATCAGATGGTCCTGTGGGCAACACACAGGGGTTAGAGTTCATCTGGAAAGCCACAAGGAGCTGTGGAGGAGCTTTCAGGATGGAAGAGGCACTGCCATCTAGAGTGATGTGGGCAGTGGCCCCGAGGGGGCAGGACCTGGTGACAGGAGGCCTGGATTGGGGAATGGGCCTGGCATGTCCAGAGGTTCAGGAAGGGAGGACCCACAGGCTTTGGTCCGCTTGGACGGGGGCAGTGGGCAGAGGCAAGGTCTTAGGATGACCTCGCTGGCACACATGACCAGGTGGTTTCGAGGGAGAGTGAGGAGTCAGGGCTTGGAATCAGAAGGTCATCTGGGGACAGTCGGGGACGTGTTTGCCTCTTGAGAGAGAGGTGTAGGTGGGGGCCGGAAGTCAGGCAGCAGTGCTGGACCACCCTCAGCACCCATCTGTCTGCCTACCCTGGGGCTCAGATGTGTCGTTGCCCGGCCGGGGTTGGCAGGCGTCCACAGGCTGGGCACGCAGAGCTGAGTGACATTCTGAGGAAGGTGGCACCGAGGGGCCTGGATGGGGCATGGGGTGCAGTCAGGCCTGAGGCCAGGGTATGGGCTACACAGAATGTACTTCCTGACTTGGGGTGCACCACGCAGGCTGGGGGTCCCGGGATTCTCTGGGCTGAGTGCCAAGGCCCCGCCTGCTGTGCTTGCCCACAGGGTGTGGAGTCTGTGAGGAAGGAGATCGACGAGAGTGTCCTGGGGCAGATGGGGCCCTACCGGAGGCCTGAGCGGCTCAGGAAAAGGACGGAGTTTGCGGGAGAGAAAATCAAGGAAGAGAAAGTGTTTGAGCCCAATGAGTATGTATCAGAACAACTGAGGCGAGGCGAGGGGCCCAGCCTGGCCCTCGCTGCCTTCCTCAGGCCCCCGTGCTGCATTTCTGCCCTCGGGGCCATCTTCAGGGGCATGGCCCAGAAGGTTCCTGCCCCAGTCTGCTCCTTGACTTTGTTTTCTACTGAGAGTCCTGGGTCCCTTGGGAGGTGTGGGGGAGGGAGTGGGGCGGGAAGGAAGAAGGAGAGAGGCAGGAGGCGGGGCGCAGGTGGTCGGGCCTGCCGTCTGCTGCTGCCCCGTTTGGCCCCTCTCCCTGGCAGCATGTCGGGACCCCCCCAGCCACCACTCACCCATCCACCCCCCCTTCTTCAGGGAGGCCCTGGGTGTTGTGCTCCACAAGGACTCCAAGTGGTACCAGCAGTGGAAGGATTTCAAGGACAACAACGTGGTCTTTAATCGTGAGTGTTGAGGGCTTGGAGGGCAGCAGAGAGGTGGCAGTGACAGGCTACCAGTGATGACAGTGGACACAGAGCAAGCACATCTATGTGCTGAGCTTGAGACAGACTTCCTTTTTACAGAGGAGGAGACGGGGGTCCCAGAGGCCCAGTCACTTCCGCATGGTCCCTCCTCGAGGCCTACTGCCCTGCCTGGCTGAGGGGAAGCCCATGTTATTGTGTCACTTCTGGGGCGTGGGGGTGCCACAGTGGGTGCAGGGAGTGAGGTGATGTTGTCTCATGGGGGGCCGGCAGACCAGGAACCCCGGTGCTGACGGCTGCGTCAGCTCAAGGCCCCTGGTGGACGGCAGCCTGTCTGGGCTGGGGCTCTTTGCTGTAGGTGGGGGCGGGGTTCCTGGGTGCTGACGAGCGCAGTCGCTGCGCCCCGCATACCAGCCCTGTGAGGATCACCAGAGGCCTGTGTTCCCTTTGTAGTGGAAGCAACAGCCAGCAGGGTGGCACCTCATAATTTACACAGCCCCTCTAGGCCCCTGCCGAGGGGCCGCAGCGGCCTCGCGAGGTAGGTAGGCAGGTTCCACCGCCTGCGTACTGAGGATGCAGGCTCAGAGAGGCCCCTGAACGTGCGCCATGTGGAGAGGGCGGGCTGCGCAGGGCCATGGGGCCCCTGGAGCTTGTGGAAGTGGGGCGTGTTTCCTGAAGGTGTCCCCACCCAGCCCCTGAGCCGACCTCACCCCCACAGGCTTCTTCGAGATGAAGATGAAGTACGACGAGAGCGACAACGCGTTCATCCGCGCGTCCCGGGCGCTCACCGACAAGGTCACAGACCTGCTGGGTGAGTGAGCTGCTCTGGAACCATCCCAGCTGGCTGTGCAGGGGATCCCGGGCCACAGCCCACCCCCTGCTCTGTTCCCCCAGGGGGCCTCTTCTCGAAGACGGAGATGTCAGAGGTGCTCACGGAGATCCTGCGGGTGGACCCTGCCTTTGACAAGGACCGCTTCCTGCGGCAGTGTGAGAACGACATCATCCCCAACGTCCTGGAGGTGGGCATCGCCGGGCCCGGCCCGACCCTCCCAGGGCCATGGCTCAAGCTCCCAGCAGCCCCTCTGGCTGCTCTCTGCTGCCTGCCTCTAGCTGGCGGGGGCTCCAGCCTGCCCCTCCAAGCTGGCACCTGGGGCATGTGCCCCCTCAGAGGCTGCGGCCTGAGCCCAGGGTTCCCAGGGCAGCTGGGCTGTGGGGCCGTGGTCTGAGTTCCTGTAAGCTGTGCCCGGGGCCCTCCCTTGTCTGTCTGTGTCTGTCAGACAGCCCCAAGGAAGCGCGTGGTCCCCTCTGTAACCCTGGGAACCAGTGGCCCGCAGCTCAGGCGACGCCGGCTCTGTGCCTTGTCTTGCATTGGCCACAGCCTTTTTAGCAGCCTTCGCCCACTGGGTAAGGAAACGAGTCTCTCTTTCTCCTGCCGTCGCTGCCTCTGCTGCCCCCAGGGAGGCTTGGCCAGAGCCTCGTGGCACCATTTTCCTCACACCTGCTTCCTGAAGCTGGTCCCTCGAGGCTGCTGTGAGCAGGGCCAGGTGTTGTCTCCCAGGGCCAGGGGTTTTTCTCCTGGCTGCCGGAGGCCGGGTGTTACCTCCCAGGGGTCAGCAGCTCTTCAGGAGCTGGGGAGAAGCAGGTGGAGGGTTTGTCTCCTGGGGGCCGGGGACCAGGTGTTGTTCCCTGAGCGCCGGGGACCAGGTGCTGTCTCCTGGGGGCTGGGGACCCGGTGTTGTCTCCTGGGGGCTGGGGACCAGGTGTTGTCCCCTGGGGGCCGGGGGTTTGTCTCCTGGGGGCTGGGGACCAGGTACTGTCTCCTGGGGACCAGGTGTTGTCCCCTGGGGGCCGGGGGCCAAGTGCTGTCTCCCGGGGGCCGGGGGTTTGTCTCCTGGGGGCCGGGGACCAGGTGATGTCTCCCAGGGGCCGGGGGTTTGTCTCCTGGGTGCCGGGGACCGGGTGTTGTCTCCCGGGGGCGGGGGGTTTGTCTCACTGCAGTGGGCCCTAGGGATGTTGCCCCCATCCTCACTCTGTCCACGTGTGCACCAGGCAGACCCACAGGCAGGACGGGGCTGCAGCCAAGGGGTGCTCCTTGGCCATATGTCTTCCTTGGGGAGCCCAGGATCCATCCTCTCGTTGTCTTCCCCCCCGCCCTGGGTGACATATGAGGGGACTTGCTCTAGGTCACATCGCTGCACACATTTCCCGAGTCTCCCCCTCAGCCCCCCACGGTCTGTGGCCTTGTCCCTGCCCATCTTGGCCCCTGTCCCCCCAAACATAGCAGGAGACTGGCCCTTAAAAGACTGTCAGTGGGGCCTCAGGATACCCCGACCCCTGCATGGATTTCTGCCCCTCCCTTGGCACCCCGTCCCAGCCTTCGAAGGGTCCCATCTTTCTCTTCCTGTTTCCCGGGCTCTTCACGCTGCCTCGGGCGGGGTTGTGAGGCTGTGGAAACGAGTGAGTCCCGAATGCAGCCGCCACAGCCGGGGAGGGTCTTCTGCGGTGAGGGGCGGGGGGCCCATGCCACAGCTCTCAGCTGGCCCACAGTGCTCCCACGGGCTCTGGCTCCTCTCCGCCCTCTGAACACCTCCCTCGCCCTCACCAGACCCAGCCCTGGCTGCAGACTCCTGTTGGGGTGTTCCCCATTGCCCCTGGGGCAAACCCTCTGCCCTCAGCTGCCATCTCTGCAGCCCCCTCGGTTACGCCCACTGGGTGGGAGCATCCTGCCCTGGAGTGGGCCAGGCCGTTCACAGCTTCGCCCCAGGGGAGGCAGGAGGCTGCAGCCCCTTTCTTGCCTCCTTGGCCAGGGTTCAAGCCCAGCACCTGGCTCCGTCCCTTCGGGCCCATGGGGACCCACCCTTGAGGTTTGCCCAGTCACCTCCATGCCAGCACCGAGAGCCAGAGCCACGCACATGGGCAGGGGCTTGGGGCCCTGGGGAGACGGCACCCGGCCGCTGCAGCCTGACCAAGGCTTCCCTGCCTCCCAGAAGGCACTGGCGCCAGCCACAGACCAGCACCCAGACCAGCACCCCCAGGGCGGGGGCCGGAGATCTTCAGCAGAAAGTTCTCCCTGGAGAACGCGTCTCCCGCTGATCTTGTCTTTCCCGTTTCAGGCCCTGATTGCTGGAGAGCTCGACATTCTCAAAGACTGGTGTTATGAAGCCGTGAGTCCTTCGTCGTTAGGCCTGGAGAGAAAGCGGCATGCGGAGGGGGAGATCCGCTGAGGCGGCTCAGTCAGGGCGAGGCCGGGTCAGGTCCCCTGGAGGAAGTGGGTCAGGGGGCCGTCCTTGTCTTGGACACGCTTGGCTTGTGCGGAGCCTGGCAGCCCTGCCTGTGATCATCTGCACCTGTGGACTGGGCACCGCAGAACCTGCTGGAACTCCAGGGCCAGGGGTGGCCACGGCCTTTGCACTGTAGACTTAGTCGGGGAGGACCCCTCGCTTGGTAACTGCAGGGTGTCTAAAGGGTGGCCTGGGTGTCCTTCCCTTGTCTGCCATTGCTATCCAGAGCTGCCTGGCAGGACGTGGGTTGTGTCTCAGAGAGGAGAGATGGGATGCAAAGCTGCCCATTTCACTGGGCTTCTTTTTTCCTCCCCCACCTTAGTCTAAATCTGGTTAAGAACATTGTTGTAGGAGAGATTTGAGCTGTTGAGTAAGATGAGGTTTTTTTTCAGCGTTGCCTGTTCCGCATATCTCCCTGCCCTGCATCCAGTGCCCGGGAGTGATGTAAAGCAGGACCCTGTGGCTGAGGTGGCCTGGGGTGCAGGTTGGGCCGAGGGTCAGGGAGTGGGTGAAGAGGACAGGGAGTGATGGTGGGGAGCGGGAGACTGGCCCTTGGTGCGAATGCTCTCCTGGGTGGTGACCAGGATGGGCACCGAAAGCGAGCGGGTTGTGGTCCCATGAGCCTCAGGATGGGTGCTAAAAGCGAGCAGAGCTGCGATCCCATGGGTCTTGGTCAGGGTGAGCGCTGAAAGCGAGCCGGGTTGCATGCCTGTGGGCCTTGGTCACTTCCCTCACTTGGCCAGAGTCTTCTTACTGAGCCCATCTCAGAGTCGTGAGGGTAGAATGCAAACATAGAAGCAGCACTCCAGACATAGGCTAATGAGCTGTTCTCATGACGAGATCCTGAAACATAGGTCAGAGCAGAGGGGACCCATGTCCCACCTGGGGAGGGGTGGCGTGTCTTTTCGAGGCCCTCTACCCCCTGGAGTGAGGCGCAGTGTCCCAGACCACCCCCACAGTGCTGGGGCATGTGGAGGCAGCCAGGCATTGTAGCACACACTGTCTCCCTGCTCCAGGCAGCCTCTACCTCCCCGCAGGCCGGCCAGGCCGCCGCCTCTCACCCCGCTTACTCACTGCCCTGCATTGCCCTCGTGGCTTTGCTCAGCCTCTGTATTAAGCAATCCAGTCTGTTTTGGCTAATTCTGCTCTGCACCCAGCTCACAAACAACCGTGAAAAAAGCCGAGAAGATGTCAGGTTTTCTTTTTAAATACTCCCCTGCACAGTGACTAATCCTGCCGGCATGTATGAGTTTTTTTTTACTTTGGGACCATTAAGATGGGGCTGATTATCTCTGGCAAATGGAGATCTGCTGGCACCCCTGGAAATGCAGTTGAAGTTGAAGCCACTCACACCTAGGTGTTTCTGAAATGTCATCTTTAAGAAACCCAACAACTAGGATTAGTACCGTTTTTTTCCCCCTCAGCAGAGCAGTTATTTCCATAAAAAGTATATGCTGTTGGAATATCTTCTGCCACAGTTGTCTGCCAAGCTCAGAGGCGCCTTGAGTGAAAACACGTGTGGCCACGTGTCCCAGGGCCCGTGTCCTGTGGTGCTGGGATGGGATGGAGCAGGCACGACAGGGTTATGGTTGTCATTTGGGGCTCGTACCCAAGTGTGAGGCACCCTGCCCCCAAAGGGCAAACAGGAGGAGGCCCTGGGTGTGCAGACGGTGAGCGCACTTGGCTGCTGACCGAAAGGTTGTAGTCCATCCAGGGGTGCCTCGGAAGAAAGGCCTGGCTGTCTGCTTCCTAGAAATCAGCCATTGAAAACCCTGTGAAGCACAATTCTACTGTGACACATACGGGGCTGCCATGAGTTGAAGTTGACTCCATGCCAGCTGGTTTTTTAGGGAAAACAGGCTGCCCGAAGCCAGATGGCCGCACAGAAGGGGCTGGCCAGTGGGAGAAGAGGCGTTAGACCCAGGCCAGGGCTCAGAGTGAGGGGACGCAGGAATGCTGCGCTCTGCTTGCCCCAAGGAGCAGGCTTTAGATTGTGTTCCAAGAGAATTGCCCAGTTTGCTGATGAAGGCCATTGCGACGTGGTAGTCTTGACACAGGGCTGTTTTCCTAATAAAGGGATGTGGGGGTGTCCTGGCCAGGCCAGCATGTCAGTGGCACCAGACCCCTGTCCTGCCTGGCCTCTTGGTACTCACCCCTCCTTGGCGAGAGCACACCAGGAGCCAGGAGCCATTTCTGGAAAAGTGCACACGCAGCCTACGTGGCCGAAAGCTAAGCCTGAGAGCCTGTCTGCCAGGGGGACCGTCCCAGAATGTGGCTACCAGCCCCAGGGCCACCTCCGCCCCAGCTGTGCAGGGGCTGCTTCTGGGAGTTGCCAGCCGTGCCTCCCTGTGGTGGGGCACTGGGCTTGGCCCGCCCCAGTGGCCGTCCCCATGGGCACGTCGTCTTCTTGTTGCAGACCTACAGCCAGCTGGCCCACCCGATCCAGCAGGCCAAGGCACTAGGCCTCCAGTTCCACTCCCGCATCCTGGACATCGACAACATCGATGTAAGTGCCTCTGCCCGGGGCCAGACGGGGAGGTCGGGAGGCAAGACCTTGGGTGGGGCCAAGGAGACACTCTGTCAGGGGCTGGGGGAGGGCGGGGGGCAGCCCAGACAGGTTGTAGAGGCAAGACTTCGGATGGGGCAAGCATCTGTTTGCTAGGGGCTGTGGGGGTGCCAGTCCTGGTTGCATCCGGTGGGGGGTACTGTGCTCCCTGGAGGAGGCCCAGCTTGAGGGCCCCTTCCAGCACACAGCTTCTGAAGTTCTGTGTTTGGAATTTAGGTGGGGGGTGGGTGCTGCCCAGATCTCGGGTTTCCCTGGCCCCCCCCCAGGTGTGATGTCCTGGCATCTTTCTGAGAGAGGCTGGGCTTTGTCAGGACCGAGGGCCCCCAGGTGTCCCCCCGGAGGGAGCTCCCCTCAGCCTGTGTGCGTGGCAGGCCCTGGCCTGCGAGCCCTTTGTGCACCTGTGTGGCCCCGGCTCACGCCGCCCAGCCTTGGGGCAGAGAAGCTGCCAGGGTCTGGGGGCCTTCCTAGAATGACAGTGAGTGCAGACTCACTCTCAACTGAGGGTGAGGGCTTGTTCATAGCAGGGGCTGATGGGAAATCCCATACCCAGAAGTGGGCGAGGGGAGGGGAGGAGGAGGAGGCAGCAGGGGTGAGGACTCAGGTTGGCCTGCTCAGGCTCTCCCTGGGTGTGGTCTGACAGAAGGGCCTGTGGCCAGGAAGAAGACAGTGGCCAAGGAGGGCCCTGGGTGTTGACATGGCTGTCCGTCAGCCCATGGACTGCCCAGGAGTGGGGGCTCCACCTCGAGGGGGCAGTAGGAGAGGGCTGGGGTGCTCCTTGAGGCCGCCCACCTGTTGGCCCCTTCCCCACAGCTGGCCATGGGCAAGATGATGGAGCAGGGACCCGTGCTGATCATCACCTTCCAGGCCCAGCTGGTGATGGTGATCAAGAACCCCAAGGGCGAAGTGGTCGAGGGTGACCCGGTGAGTGGGGGTTGGGGAGGGACGGGAAGCCAGGCTGGGACAGCTGCCCCTGATGCCCACACGCGGCCTCTGGCCACCTCATGCTGATGCTGGTTCCCAGCCGGGAGGGTCTGTTCAGGACAAGTCCACCCTGAGGAACCCCAGGCAGAGCTTGGGCTTGAGGTCAGAGGCTACTGACCTGCCAGGGTTACCAGCCCTGAGCAGCCCCTGGAGAGGTCGTCGTGACAGCCCGTGCCCTCTGAGGCCCACCAGCACCCCCCTAGCCCTGACTCCTGTCTTTGCAGGACAAAGTGCTGCGCATGCTATACGTGTGGGCGCTCTGCCGGGACCAGGATGAGCTGAACCCCTACGCCGCCTGGCGGCTCCTGGACATCTCGGCCTCCAGCACGGAGCAGATCCTCTGAGTGCGGCCCCACCACTGAGGGGCTCTGGGGCTGGACCAGCACACACGAGACAGATGGGGGGTGGTCAGGTGTCTACCTGCAGCCACTGCAGACATCTGGGCCAGGACATTTGCCTCCAACTCGGTCCCTGCCAGGGTGGCTGCAGAACCAGCCAGCAGAGGAGGAGCCAGGCACTATGGAGGACGCCTGGTGGCTGGACGCTCCCCGCAGCGCCAGCCCCTGCACTCCTTCCCCAGTGGGGGCAGCTGGAAGACTGGCTGGAGGGAGGCACAGAGGACAGTGTCAAGAGGTCCCGGGGTCCAGGGAGCCCCTTGGGGGCAAGGTGGTGGGGCCCAGGCCCTGCCACTCAGGGGCCTGCTGGCCACCTCAGCCAGGCTGTTTTAGTTCTGTAATTTTTTAACAGTGCCCTTACTTCCTGAACATGAGTCTGAGATTTGAAAATAAAAATAAAACACCAAAGTGCAGAAGAGCAACTTGGATGGCCCAGGCCTCTATCTCTCGGGTGGGTGGGGGCTGAGACGGGTCAGCTAGCCGTGCGGAGCAGTCAAGGTCCCAGAGAACAGCGGCCCAAGTAAGGGTGGGGGCCCTGGAGGAGGAGGGAGGGGAAGGAGACGCCAGTGACCCTGTCGTCAATTCCAACTCATGGCGGCCCCATGTGGGCAGAGTAGAACTGGGCTCCGTAGGTTCTTCAAGGCTGTGACCTTTGAGAAGCAGCTCACCAGGCCTTTCTTCCGAGGCGTCTGTGGGTGAACTCGAGCCCCCAACCTTTAGGTTATCAGCCACCAGCCGTTTATACACTCAAGGACTTCCATAAGAGAAGACTAGGGGCAATTCCTCCCCTAGTGACCTAGCCGGGTTTCGGAGGGTAGAGAGTGCTTGTAGGGGTGGAGCGGGGCAGCTAAGGTCCTTGGTGGTCATGGGGCTCAGGCCAGGGTCCCTCCGCAGGCGGCTTGGGCAGACGCTCTGCGCTCCTATGGCCCGGGCGGGGTCGCGGCTCGCGCGCGGCTCCCTGCGCAGTCTCCGCCCCTCGTGGCCCCGCCCTCCGCGGCGGCCCCGCCCCCGTCGCCAGGGGAACAGCAGCGGCGGCCCCGCTAGCGCGCGGCTTGCTTGCCTCGATCTCCGCCGCTCTAGGGGCGGGTGGGGTGGGCAGAGCCGGAGCCGGAGCCGGAGCCGGAGCCGGGCCGCCGTCGTCGCCCCCGCGGCTGCCGCCGGGGAGAGACCTGAGCGGAGCCGGCGCAGATCCTGGGAGAGCGCGGCCGCCGGGCGGTCCATCCCCGTCCGGGTCGAGCCCAGGGTGAGGGGCGCGCGGGGGTGGTGGGGGCGGGGTCCCCGAGACGCAAGAACAAAGGGACCAGGGCGGGGACGCGGGGGCGCGCCGCCTGGGCCGCGGCCACGCATCGCACCTGTTGTGCGCTGGCCGCTCGGCCGGGTCTCGCCCTCCCCGTTCCCAGCGCCCCCATCTGCGCGCGCGCCCGGAGGTGGGTCCCCTCGTGTCGGTGGCGAAGTCCCCGCGGCCCGGCATGGGCGTGGTCCGGGGACAGATGCACCGGGGGGCGAATAGGACCCGGCAAGGTGAGGGTGCGGCGGTGGGACCGCAGAGGGACGGGCGGGCGCCGCCTCATCCCCGCCCTGGAGGACCTCTCTTCCTTTCCGCAGGGTGCGCGGCGATGTGAGCCATGAGCGCGATGTGGACGCTATCCCCAGAGCCACTGCCGCCGTCGACGGGGCCCCCGGTGGGCGCAGGCCTGGACGCGGAGCAGCGCACGGTGTTCGCCTTCGTGCTGTGCCTGCTTGTGGTCCTGGTGCTGCTGATGGTCCGCTGCGTGCGCATCCTGCTCGACCCCTACAGCCGCATGCCCGCCTCGTCCTGGACCGACCACAAGGAGGCGCTCGAGCGCGGGCAGTTCGACTACGCGCTGGTCTGAAGGGGGCGGTGCCCTGGGTCGGCCCTCAGCTACTGGGTATCCGGGGACCGGCCTCGATCGGGGCGTCGCCTGGCCTGGACTGCGCTCAGGACCCCGCCCCAGAGCCCCAGCCGAAGGCGGGTGGGGCGTTAGGAGAAGTCCGGCCCTCCCCGCTCGCACTCTATGTCGCCTACCGGCAAGGCCGGAACCCCACCTCATGCCTTTATCCACCCTGGCCTGTCCTCTCTCCACCTCTCACTGGCCTGGCTGGCCCCCGAATCGGGAGCCCCGGCTGGGAGGGCCCCAAGTGTGTAGGTGGCTTTGTTATGTCCCGCCACCAAGCATGAATGTCACGTCTGTTCCTGGGGTTGGGGACCCTTTCGTCCCCTCTGCCCTATCCTCATTTCCCCCATAAGTGTTGAGCCCCCCGGGGGCTCCAGCCTGTCAGGCAGGCACTCCTGAGCCCACGGAGTGGATACACATACCAATATGCTCTGTCCAGCCTGCCCTGAAGATGGAGCCGCCCGCCAGCCTCCCGGCGGGGAGAGCCACAATGGCTGCTGTGTCCAGGACACTTCCTGGCCTCCATGAGCGCTGGCAGGCTGACTCCTGCCCGCAACCCAGGCCCCCGTGCAGGTCAGCGCCCCCTCCCTCGGTCACCACCTCCGCCCCTCATCACCTGGCTGCCTCTGACGCCTCCTGCTAGCTCTCCCAGGCCCGTTTCACTCCTCCCTGCCTCGGGAGCCGGTGATGATAATAAAAGCTATTATTACTGAGCACTTACTATGTAGTAAGCAGTGTGCTGAGTTGGCGCCTCCGGCACATAGGCTGTGCAGGACGCAGAGCCTGAGCTAGGCCCTGTTAGCGTCCCCATTCTACAGACTAGGGCACTGAGGTCAGACAGCTCGAGTGACTTGCCGGTAGCTACAAGGCCTGAAAGTGGCCAGGCAGGAATCTGACCCAGGTTTCGCTTCTGCATGGTCTTCTCTACTGCCCGGTGCAGCAAACTCACGCATCCACACCTTCTTTTCCCCAGTTTTAGGGGTTGAGGGTGTAATCATCTCGATGCTACACCCCACCCCCCAGTTCCAGATACAGCCAAGATCCTCCTTGACCTGGGGAGGCGCTGGAGGCTGTGGGATGGACTTAACCCACTGGGATACAGCTGAGATGGGGTGCCCTCGGCTCGCCGTGAAGGTTGTTTCCAAGAACTGGCCCAGTCTCCTGGCTCTGGGACCACACCTACAACCCCAAACCTCTCCACACCACCTACCCCCTGCTCACTGCCGTCGTGTGTGCCTGGAAACCGTGGGTCTGGCGCTGGCTTGGCTCCAAGCGCGCAGCCTGGGAGATGCTGTGCGCCCCCGGGGAGCCGTGCACAATGTGTGGGGGAAACCAGCGTTTCTATAAAAGGAAGGCTGTGTGCACATGCAGGCTCCCCGGGCAAAAAATTTACCAGCTCTCAGACTGCAAGTTAGTCTTGGGGGAAGGCGGTGCCTTGGGAGGGCACCTAGTTCCTGCTGAAGAACCTTGGTTCTCCCCCATTCAGGAGACCTGGCCTGATTCCACCTCCACTGGGCAGGTGAGGCTGATGGAGGCACATCCCAGGCAGGGAAGTCCAGCAGCACCTCCAGGAATTTGGGGTCTTTGCGGGGGCCCTGCTCCTCCCATCTGATGGGAGGTAAACCATTCCGAAAACCACTTCCTGACACCTGTTCCCACGAAGCCTGGCCTGCTCTAATTGGCCGTTGTCAAGAGCCACCCCCACTCCCTCACTCTGGCCTCAGTCGTCCCACTGTCCCCAAGGGTCCCCTCCCGGGTTAACCTTGAGGCTGCCACAGGCTTCTTCAGATCAAACCCAGAAGCAGCAGCCCTCCTTGCAGGCACGGCTGCTCCTCGGCTGCAACAACCCCGTGCATCAGTGTCCCCACGCCCACCTCTGACTCATGGGGAGAATGAGCAAGGCGTGTCGGCAAGAACTTTATTCACCGTCACAGCACACCAGAGGGGTGAGGAGCTGGTGAGTGGGGTGTGCTGGACCATGGTAAGGTGGGATTGGAGTCCGAGAGCACGTCCTGTGGTATGAGGGCAAGCTGGGTGCAATACAGATGGACAAAGGGAACCAAGACAAAGGAGGGCACCTGAGAGGGGTTTACTGTGCGGTGCCAGCCTGAGACTGGTACAGGCTTGGGAGGTCGGGCTGCTCGTGCGTGGAGTCCCTGCACCCTCCATTCTCCGTGTACTCAGCCGCCTGGCCGGCCCGCTCAGCTCTGAGGCCGTCACTGGGTTGGGTGGCCGAGGCCCTCTACAACTGTTTCCACTCTTTGAGACCTCAGATATACAGAGCTCCTTAAGGGCCAGCCAGTGCTGGGCACAGTGTCCGGAACCTTCCACCATGCAGGATCCTCGTAACAACTCAGTGCCAAGCTGAGCCGGACTGTGCACTGTGGGACACAATGTCCTGGTGTATCTTCTGCCAGCCAGGGCCCTCACTTGGCAGGGGTGGCCGCCTGGCCCAGAAGCTCCAAGGGCACCAGGAAGGGGTTCAGGGGGCAGACCCCGGCCGCTTGCCAGGCTGATCTTGGTTCACTGGGCCCAGCGCTCTCAGAGGCCTGGGGGGTGGCCTGGCCAGGCTCCTCGTGCCCCCTGGAGCCAGCGTCCCCATCCTCAGTCTCAGGCCCCAGGCCCCCCACGGCCAGGCTGGGCTGGGGGGCTGTCAAGCGCAGGTATGCTCCAGTCATGTGTTCAGCCAGGGCCGTGCAGGGCAGGCGGCTCAGCTCCTCAGGGAGCGACAGGAGCAGGTCAAGGACCACAGATGACTCTAGGGAAGGAGGGAGGGAGGTTAGAGGGGGGCAGGGCTTGCTGCCTGGGCCCTGCCCCCAAGGCCCTGCCCCCACTCTCCTCACCAGCTGGGGAGAGCTCGGGTCCTAAGCCACTTCGGGATGAGGACGCCAGGTACTTGTAGATCTTCTCGAAGTCCACGGTGAAGTCTCCCTTGGAGGAGGGGCCGGATGCGGGCTCGGAAGGGGCCGCAGGGGTGTCAGAGGCAGGGACCCCAGGAGTGTCAGGCACAGGGGCCTCAGGGTCAGACACCTCCTGCCCCCCGGGGGTGCTGAGGAGCAGCGCCTTTCCACGGGCCTGCGTGGCCTTCGGAGGCTGGGAGTGCAGGAGGCTGAGGGGCTCCGTGGCCGCGATGGTGAGCACCTGCTGGGCACAGCCATCAGAGCAGGCACAGGGAAGTCCCCCTACCTGCGTCACATCACCAAACCCACCCTGCCACCCTGAGGAAGACCTCAAAGACAGGGAAACTGAGGCTCAGGGTGTCCTGCAACTGGCCAAGGTCACAGAGCTGGTCCCTCTGGTTTGGACTCCAGTGTGCCCCCTGCCCCCAGGGACCCCCAGCCTGCCTGGGGGGAGGCTGTACCTGCGAGAAGGCAGCTGTCAAAGGTTCCTCCAGCGGGCCCGTTATCTTCTCTGCTAGATCCGTCCACACCTGGGGTGGGGGGGGAGCAATGGGAAGGTATGTGCTCAGCCCAGAGTGCACCCCTCAGGGGTCCCTCAAGCCCTGCCCTTCCTAGGGATCTCTGAGCAGGTTATCCCCTCAACTCCCAACTTAACCCCCAGGGGCTGGCTCTGGGGAGTCTCCCCCTGCTACCTTCCTCACCTCTATGGGGGCTGGGGTCTGGCGCCGTCGACCCAGTGGTCCGCCTGGTTGCAACCTCTGAATAGCCTCCCGGGCCACACGGCCCTTGAGCTGGCGAAGGAAGTCCCGGATCTGGGGAGGAGAGAGGAAGCGGCAGAATAGGCCTACTACACGCCCAGGGTTGAAGGAGAGAAGCCAAAGCCCGCTGCCTGCTCTGGGTGACTTCCTGGCCCAGCCATGCCACAAACGGGTCCTTCTCTACTCCCAGTGCTCCCTAGCCTCCCGCTAGCCCAGTTTACAGCCCCAGTGACTTTGCCGGGCCTTGAACCAAGGCCTGAGATCCCGCCAGATCAACTACATCAGGAAGATGAAAAGCCCAGGCCTGCTCTGGCTCCTGCCCTCGGCCAGGGCCCGCCGCCATGCTAAGTGCAACCCTACTATCTGCCCCCTTCATCCACTCTGCCCATTTCTCCCCCTCTCCTATGAGTTGGAATCGACTCGACGGCAAAGGATTTTCAGCCTCAGTCTTGTGGCGCCTTCCTCCCCTTTTCGGAGTGTACCTAGCTCACTACTTGACCATGCCCCACCCCTCAGCCTCTGTAAGCCCCGCCGCCCCGCCCACTCCTTATTCCCGAGGTCGTCCTGCCCCTAAGCTTGCACTCGCTCTGCCCCCTCAGACTCACGCATGCCCGCCCCAGCTTCGCACTAGCCCCGCCCCTTATCCTCGCCCTCCACCCGCCCATCAGCTTCCCGCACGCAGTCTCGCACTAGCCCCGCCCCAGTCTCGTATTAACAACGCCCCAGGCTCACACGAGAGTTCGCCCCGACCCTCAGCCAGCCCTGGCCCCGCTCCCGCCCCAATCTCACGCACGCATGCACGCCCCAGCCTCGCACTAGCCCTGTCCCATCTTTACTCCCGAGCTCAACTCGCCCCTCGGCCCGTCTCGCCCCAACCTCGCGTGAACTTCGGGACCCACCAATGCCCAAAGCCTCCGCTCGCTGCCCTGCCCCTGAGCCTCACCCTCGTCCCGCCCGGCCTCCGTCTCCCGGCCCCGCCCCTCACCTCGTCCTCGCTCCGGCCCGGCAGCCCGCGGACCAGCTCCGCGGCGTTCGGCTCTGGCTGGCCCCGCCGCGCCTGCAGTAGTCGCAGCAGCCGCCGCTTTTCGCGGATGCTCCAGGCCGCGGGGCCGGTCACAGCGCCCAGATAGCGCGCCGGAGCCGCTCGTTGCCGCTGCGGCGGCTTCATGTCCACCAAACGGCCTGGACACGCTGACGCCTTTTTCTGGGGGCGGAGCTACGGAGGCCGCCGGGGCTGTAAAGCACCGTGCGGAGGCGGGCGCAAATGGGGGCGTGTCTCCGCGCTTTCAGGCAGAAGGGAACCGCCTCGAGTGGGAAATGATGGGAAGACTGGTGCCGGAACCGGGTCTGAAGCGAACGAGACCCTGTCTCATTTTTATCTCATTCCCAATTTAAAGTGTGACCTTGGATGGACTTTTATGAAACTCCTACTGTGTGCTCTAAGGGGCCCGGGTGGCGCTACGGTTAAGCGTTTGACTGCCAGTGGTTCGAACCCACCCAGTGGCTCTGTGGAAGACCTGGTGATCTGTGCCCATAAAGATTGTTGTTGTTAGGTGCCATCGAGTCTGTTCCGACTCATAGCGACCCTGTGTACAACAGAACGAAACACTGCCCAGTCCTGTGCCATCCTCACAATCGTGGTTATGCTTGAGCCCATTGTTGCAGCTACTGTGTCAGTCCATCTCCTTGAAGATCTTCCTCTTTTTTGCAGACCCTCTACCAAGCATGATGTCCTTCTCCAGGGACTGGTCCCCCCCGATAACATGTCCAAAGTATGTGAGACAAATTCTCGCCATCCTCGCTTCCAAGGAGCATTCTGGCTGTACTTCTTCCAAGACAGATTTGCTCGTTCTTTTGGCAGTCCATGGTATATTCAATATTCTTCGCCAACACCATAATTCAAAGGCGTCAATTCTTCTTCGGTCTTCCTTATTCACTGCACACATAGGAGGGGATCGAAAACGCGCTAGGGTCGCTGTGAGTTGGAATCAACTCTCCAGCAACTGCCATAAAGATTAAAGCCAAGAAAACCCTGTGGGGCAGTTCTACTCTGTCACATGGAGTCGCTATGAGTTGATGGCACCTAATAACAACTGTGTGCTTTACTTTTGCAGATGCATGGGCCTTGGCCAGAAGGTGCCAGTCATAGCCAAGAACCTGGGCTATGGTGTTGAACAGCCGTGGGGAACTTGGGCACGTGACTTGGCCTCCATGAGCCTGTTACCTCATCTGTAAAATGGAGCTAGTAGTCTCGCTCTTATTCGTGAACAGGGAAAGGAGGAGGTTGGACAGGAGGGATTTAAGGAGCTAGACAATCTAGGAGTAGGGTGGAGGCCAGACCAGCGAGGAGACTGGGGCAGAGGCGTGAGGTGGAGGCTTGAGCAGGGGCAGGGTCCAGCCATTGGGGACGGAGAACAGAGAAGGCCTGGCTTCCAGAGGGTCAAAGAAGGCAGGTAGGCCGGTATGAGGGTAGCAGGTAAGGTTGGGGGTCACTTTGTGTTTGGGACAAAACGCCCATGGGTCTCCTCTGGCACCTATGTGCACACGTGTATGTATGTATGAGATGCACCTCCAGCCCCCTCTCCAGTCCAGTCCTGCCCCTCCAGACTCGACCTCTCCCAGCCCGAAATCCTCCCAGTCCTAGTCCCAGGCCCTGCCCGGGCCTACCCTTCCTGCCCCCACCCCAGCACTACGCGTGCACACACAGACTCCAGGACTCAGCAGGTCAGTTCAGATGTTTGTTTTGTGTCCAGGTGGGAAGAAAGGAGGGCAAGCAGTGCAGGGATTGTGGTCTCATCAGGCCCGAGGCTGAGGGCAGCAGATTCGGTCCTGCTGGGAGAAACAGGAAGGCTGAGCCAGGGAGGGAACACTGTACAGGCCACCTCCTTCCCAGTCAGCCACTGACCTCCCCCATCAGCCTGTGAGCTGGGTGAGGGGTGCTGACTGGGTCTGACTCCCAAATTCCCCTCGCCTGTGGCCTGTCGGGGTTTGAGGACCCTTCTCCCAAGAGCAGTCTCCTACGGCGACCTATTGCATGAGTTCGAATCCTAGCTCCACCAAATGTTGTGACCTTTGACAAGTGACTTCATTTCAGAGAGTGCCTCATTTTTCTCATCTATAAAATGGGCGTTATAATAATATCTACCTGAAGGCTGTTACATATGCGTAAAATACTTCAAACAGTACCTGGCACAGAGTAAGTGATATGAAGAGTTATTATCACCTCCTTCTTCCAGCTCCCATATTACCCGCCCCCTACACACACACACACACACACCTGCCTCACTGGGTCCTCCTGGGCTGGGTGCTGCTGGGCGAGGCCCTCAGGGGCGGGACGGGCGGTTGGGACGCTGTAAGGAAGAGGTGGCGGCTGAGGAGTAGGGGCTGCGGCGCACTGGACCGGGGTAAGGGCGCCCCCTGCAGGCTGCTGCGGATGTAACGGGGCAGGACTAGGGACCCTCACCCCTGCCGCTGAGGTCGCTGGGGCCCGGGCAGAGGTCCTGGCGGGCAGGGGTCGGTACCTGAATGAGCGCAGACGAGGCCAAGCCCGGTGGCCAGCGCTGCGCCCAGCACGAAGGCTGCCAACACCAGAGCCACCACCGGCGCGGGTTCCAGGGCGGCGGGGGCCGGTGCAGCAGGCTTGAAGCTCACGGTCCTGCTCGGGGCGCCCTTGGGAGGCCCTGTGGGGAATGGAACGCTGAGACTGGGCCTGGGACTCAGACATCCGCCCCACCCTCCTTCCCCGGTCCCAGTGCTCCCTGCGGAGCAGGACCGCGCGCTCACGTGGGGGCGGCCGCGGCACGGTGACCACGATGGGCTGCGTCAGCGTGTGCAGGTGGGGGCTGTCAGCGACCGGGCTCTCGCCGCTGCCACTGCCGACGCCCACGCACGCTTCATCCTGAGGGAGACACTGAGGGGTACGGGAGGGAAGGGAGGGGGAAGTCAGGGCCCCAGGACCGAGGCTCCTGAGACCCAGACGTCCAGCTCTCCACCAGTCCCACCATTAGACTCCAGAAAATCCAGCCCCTTAGGGATACCCTGAGCCCAGCCCCTAAGATACACAAGCAGCCCAGCCCAGGAGGAGCCCCGAAGTGCAGTCTCTCAAGGGGAGGGGGAAACACCACCCCAGCTCTCCCAGTACCTAACCTTCGAAGCCCAACATTAGTACCCAGAGATTTGGGCTCTCAGTGGCCCCCTGCATCCAGCCTTCCAGACCCCGAAGGACCCCAGAGCCCTGCCCATGAGTGTATCCAATGTCCACCCTTGTCCCCTGAGCAACGCTTGTGCCAAGCCCCACGGCCTCCTTGGTGATCCACGCGCCCAGCACCCAGCCTGTGAGAAACCCAATGTCTACACCCAGACCCCAAAGCGCCTCAACTCCAGATCCCCAAACCCCGAGCTGCTAGAGACCCATCCCACCCCCCAGAAGCCCCGGTGCCCAGATTCTTGGCCCTGTGCTCGCGCACTGGAGATGGCGGCGGCGGCGGCGGCGGCGGCGGCGTCAGAGGCGCAGGACGGCGGACTCCCCGGAGGCGGCGGCAGCGGCTCAGCTGGCAGTGCAGGAACTGCACAGAGGCGTTGAAGACCGGGCGCAGGCGGAAGCTGAAGCGCACGGGGTGGGCGGCACCGAGAAGCGGCGGCGGCGGGAAGACGACCGAGGCGTCGACGGGACAGCCCCCGCGCAGCAGCGCCAGGGCGGGGCCCGGGGCCGGGCGTGAGGACGGCGTCACGGAGCAGCGATGCAGGGCCAGGCCCCAACGCCGGGAGGGACGGGCCAGGGCCGCCTGGGGGGCAGGGGCGCCATCAGGCCTGGCCTCCCCCGTCCCCATCCACCCCAGGTGTTGCCGGTGGCCGCACCTGCACGAACACGCGGCTGTCAGCCGGCACCTCGAGCGGCCCCCCGCGACGCGGGAAGGCGTCCTCTGCTTCTGACAGCTCCAGGCTGAAGAGGGGCTGGCGCAGCCAGGGCCCAGGCGCCGCCGGGAACAGGGGTGCTTGCGGGGGAGAGGGTGGCACAGAGGAGGGAGGGCAAGTGACCCAATCGTTTGGTTGTGATGGCAGATTTGCCGTGCTTAGCCTGGCGCTGGTTCATGGTAAGTGTGCCAGTTATTCTGTGCCCCCTGGAAACCCCAGGGACGCTGCTGTCCAGCAGTTGGAGCTGGATGCAAAGCTGTGTACCCACTCATGCCCTACCTGGGCTTCTTCACCTGCAAAATGGGCGACGGGACCCCTGGCTGGAGAAGGGGTTGAGGGGTGCTTGATGGTGGAGGGCCAGGCTGGGTGAGGTCAGAGGTCTCCCCACTTCTGAGCACTTTGTCACCCAGGGGAATGGGGCTTCTCTAGGGGTGCAGTAGGGCTGGGTCGGAGGGGGGAAGTGCTGGCCAATCTTACGTAAAAGGAGGTAAGTGCTGTCACCAACGGGGAAAGGGAAAGCCTTCTGAAAGGCACAGCCAAAGCCCAGCCAGGCCACCAGGATATGGGGCTTTACCACTTGTCCAGGATCCTCAGACCCAGATGCCGAGGGGAAGAGGCCAGGCTGAGGACAATGACAGCAAAAGATGGAGGCGAGGGGAGCCCCAGTGGTGGTGGTGGGGTCCCTTAACCCGTATGTGACAGTGCACTCACACAAGGGCCTGGGCTCACACCCACATGCCTGCTGGCACCCTGACCCCGAAGGCACTCAATGATATTCTGGAACGTTCAGTGTCCCTAAGAGCATTTGCCCCAACTACCCCTCTCCCCCTCACTGTGGGTGCCGGGGCCTTAAAGCAGGTGGGAGATCCAGATCAACTTGGCAACCAGGCCCAGAGTGAAGCCCCTTCCCCTACCCATGCTCCCAGGGAGGATGAGAGAAAGGCCAGGCTGAAAAAGGGCAGCCAGGGATAGGTGTGTGATAAGCCCAGCGGCCCCCGTCTGTACGTACCCGGCGGCTCACTGGGCAGGGTGGAGGTCCCCTGGAGCAGGGCTAGCAGCAGGAGCAGGGCGCCTAGCATGCTGCACAGCAGGGTCAGTGTGTGGGGCCAGAAGCGGAGGCACCAGCCAGGGCAGCACCCAGGCCCAGCAGGTAAGCAGGTAATCTTGGCTAGGTGGCCACCGGGGTAGGGAGCGGGGGCGATGGACCGAGGGGACATTGGAGCTGGGGCCCAAGGCTGCCAGGATTAAGGGCTTCCTCCTGCCCGAGCTGTGGCTATGGGGGCGGGGGGTGGAGTCAGCTCATACTAAAAAAAAAAAAAAAAAGTTGCCTTTGAGTTCTATTCTGACTCATGGCAACTTCATGTGTGCAGTGTACAACTGTGCTCCGTAGGGTTTTCAAGGCTGTAACCTTTTGGAAGCAGATGGCCAGACACCTTGGGGTGGATTCGAACAGCCAACCTTTCAGTTACCAGTAGAGTGCTTCTGCACCACCCAGGGACTCCCCCTCCTGCCTCCCAGCCACTTGATACTGGGCAAGTCCTGACAAACTCCACCTTACCAGCACCCTCCTGTTTCCCCTCAAGGTAATGGCCACCCCCACTCCCCATGACCAAGGGCGCTCCACTAGGCCCCCTGCACTCCCCTTGCCGAGGCTGGGGCTCTGGGCCCCTTCCCACCTCTTCCTGCCAGGCCTGGCCAGGCCCATGCCACACCACACAGCACCACTTGCTGGAGAAAAAGGGAGGGGTTTTATTCTCAAGCGTCTAAAGGTTTACAAACAAGGGCATTTTGTTTTAAAAAGGGCCAGGGCAATACTGGTGGCCTGAGAAGGGGGTGGGGGCCGCTGGGCTGGGCTGGGCCCCCCCAGGCCCCTACCCGCCCGGCCCATCCTCTGCCCGGTCAGGAGGGACGGCTGGTGATGCAGGGGAGGACAGGGAGAGGCAGGGAGGTAGGAGCAGGAGGCTCCCCCAGGGCTCCTGCTTAACACTGAAGGGGGGGTGGGGCGTGGAGGACACACACTCACAAAACAGAAAATAAAGTTAAATAAAAATAAAACTAGGCAGCTCGGCCTTGGGCCTGTACTGACCCCGGCACCAGCCAGTGGCTGGCCGGCACCCTGCAAAGGCCCCTGTGGGTGGGCCCAGCAGAGGAGGGCAGGGGCCAGGCTTGGGGGCCCCATCCCCTCACAAAGGTGACCTGGGGCAGTCCGCCCCCAAAAGGTGCCTTCCCCCCAAGGGCAGAGAAAAGGTGACTTGTATTACTTGTTAACCATGCGGCACTGTGGGAACAGGAGTAAGGATGCGAGGATACAGTAACACCTAAGCCTATACTGCTTCAGCTACAGCACAGCTCCTCACCTTTGGTGTTGGCTGGATTTTGTTTGTGGGCTTTTCTCTTTTTTTTTTTTTTTCATTATTTTGCTTTGTTGTCCACTTGATTTGCATGCATCACCAACAAAAAGGGCCCCCCCCCCCCCCCGGCTCTGGCAGCTGAAGTGAGCACTGGGGATGCTGTGGGACCTCGACCTGGGCCCCAACACCTGTGCCCTCCTGCCCTAGGCCCCAGGGTGGGTCAGGGGCTGGCCAGCTCCGGGTGAGTTGAGGGACGCTCAGGGGCACTCTGGGGGCATAACCGCCTCCACCGTCCCCACCCCGCGGCCTGGCCTCTGCTCGCTCCAGCCCTCCCACCTCTGTCCCTCTCACACATCCTCGAACCCCTGTGTCCACTCTCTGCGCCCTCCACCCTGACTCTCGCCCAGCCCCTCCCTGGGCCCCACTTCTGCCACCACCTCCCTCCCCCCACCTACTGGCTACACCAGCTCACTGCTCTCCTCGCCCATGTCCACCTTCCCCGAGACCGTCCTGTGTGGCCGCGGCCCCCCAGACACCCTCTGCCCCACCCTGAGGTCTTCAATTCACCCCAAGCTGTGGCCAGACTCCAGCCCAACCCGAGGGCCGGCCCCTAAGGAGGAGGAGCACCCTGACCTCACCTCTGAGACAGGGCCGACAGGGGCAGTGGCCCAGGCCCCCAGACCCACTGTGCCCACATGGATGGGGGCCACACACAAGCAGCTCAACATGACTTTGGTAAAGTTTCTGAAGGTACCGACAAACTCCATGAGCACTAGCTCTCCTCCTCCCCTCCTGCCCCCCAAACACCCCACCAAGTACAATAAAATACAATAAACTCCAAAAAGGACCCCCTGAGATCAAAGAAAGAGAGACCCAGTCCCAGCCCAGTGGCAGTCCCAATGCCCAGGCCACCTTGCTGGGGCAAGGCTGCTGGCCACTGGCGACAACAGAGACCTCGGCGGCCCTGGGGTCAGACAGGGCTTCCCCTGCCTCCTCTGCCCTGCCGGGGGCTGGCTGAACCCAGGCCGAGGCCAGGAGCGGGGCAGAGACCAAGAGGGAGACAAGGAAAAAGCCACATGGGGACTGAGAGAGAGGAAAATGACAGACAGAGGGAGATAGCAACGTGGAGAATGTGCACGGGACAGAGGCGAGGGGGCAGCAGGGGGTGCGGGACGCAGCTCTCTCCCAGGCTCTGGGGCTGCCTCAGCCCAGAGGTTACAACTGAATAAATAGCAAGTCTGAGCGTGGCCTGCTGTCTTCCGTTCACAGTGTCTGTCAGGGGACGCTCGGCCGGCTGGCCCCGGGGGCCAGAGGGGCTGGGGCCGGGGGGGCCCATCTGTCCACAGCTGCTGGGCAGGGAGTCAGGGGTAGGTCGGCGCCCCCTACTTTCTGTCCTCAGCCCTCGGCGGCCTCCAGGTCCCAGGTCTCCCCTGGCGGGCAGCTGGGTGGCCAAGTGGGGAAGGGGGGCCTGTGGCCATGTCCCCGGCCCGCTGTGGGGCTGGCCGCTGCCACGCGGCTACCTGAAGAAGGGCAGGTGGTGCTGGCTCAGGACTCCGCTAGTCCGCGGTGACTCGGTCTTTGCCATGACGTCCTTGAACCAGGAAGCCACGTCCACCTCCAGGGTCTCATAGTGCTTGATAAAGCTGTGTTCCTGTGGGCCCAAGCGATGGGTTCAGCATAAGGAGCTTCCCTTCAGGGGCCCTGGGGAATCCAGGGGGGCCGGTGTGGGGAGGGAAGGGCTGGGACGGAGGTGGAGGCGGTACTCACAAGTAGCTTATTATACTTTGGTCTCTTCCTGTGATCTTTAGTAAGGCTGGTGGAGAAAAGAGATGGACAGAGGTGAGAGCCCTGGGAGGGGCCTGACCACCTCCACCAGCTCGGACCATCCTCCCTGGGAGCCAAGGCTCCTCCAGGCCGGTGGGGAAGAGCAGCTGGCTGCTTCACAGGCCTGGGCTGACAGGCGAGCCCTGTACCCATGTACGTCCTGAAGCCTCCTGTCCAATTTCGGGGTGGAGGACGCCCTTCCCAGGTGCCCTCCCCGCAGGTGCGCCAAGGGCTGCAGCGCCGAGAGGGGCAAGAACCTGTACTCAGGCCTCCAGCCCGCGACTGGAAGGAACCAGGTTGTGAGGCTCCCGTACAAGAGTGGAGAGGATCTGCCGTGAAGGCAGCGCACACAGATTGTTGCCAGGGGCACAGGCCAAGCACCCTGGGGCACCCCCGCTTGTCACAGGCTGCCAGCACGAGGGCCACCATGCCAAACACCTGCGGGCCCTGCTGTCCCTCAGGCTGGGTCCACCCCCTACTCTTGGCTCCCCGCGTACCAGCTCTAGCCTGTCCACAGCCTCCCACCCCTACCTGGTGTGATCCCCCTCCAATCCCCTCCTGCCCTGGCCCACCCTGCAGCCTCCCCGGCCTCTGCTCACCCCCAGTGCTGAGGAGTGGGACAGGTGCTCACCAGTCTTTGACGAAGGACTGAAAGTCCCCCGAGAAGCCCATGTGACCAGGCAGGAGGGGGGGCTCTTCCTGGAGGACTTTGGTGAGGACCTCAAAGTCTGTCTTGCAGTTCTTGTAAGGAAACTGCCCTGTGGCAAGCTCCACCTGGGAAAAAGCCAGGGTGTGGGGGGCTGGAGTGGTGGGGACAGGTGCCTGCCTGCCCTCCTGCCCTGGAGAAACCCCGTGCCTAGCCTCTGTAGGCAGGGTTCCCACTTACCAGTGAGATGCCCAGACTCCACACATCGGCCCGGATGTCGTAGTCTGGCTTAGTGGGATCCGGGGGGTCAATGCGCTCGGGCTGCGGGTGGGAGGAGGGGTAGCTGTACTCGAGGCTCTCTCTGGTCCCCGTCCCGCCCACTGGGCACCCCGGCCCCCGCTCACCGCCATGTAGGCAGCGCAGCCAGCGCTGCGCGTCTTGGCCTTGGAGTCGACGAGGCGGCCACTGATGCCGAAGTCGCAGAGCTTGATCTGGCCCCGCTCGTCCAGCAGGATATTGGAGGGCTTGACATCTCGGTGGATGACCCCGTGCTTCTCCTTCAGGTAGAAGAGTGCCTTCACGATCTACGGGGACAGGGAGAGCGCCAGTGACGGGCCACACGTGGGGGGCCCCGGGCCTCTGCCCCGCCCCGCCGCTCACCGCCACCGTCATCTTGCCCAGGATGCGCTCTGGGATGGGGCCCTGCATCCGCTTCTTGAGCTTCTCAGCGCACGTGCCCATCAGCTCCATGGCGATGAAGACATCCGTCTGCAAGGGAGGCATGCACGTGCTGCTCAGGGAGGCCCATACCCACGTGGGCACCCTGAAGCAGGTCCCAGGGAGGGGCTGGAGGTGGGACAGGGCGCACTTTAGGTTGGCGAGGAGGAGGAATTCGGGAGGGACATGTCCAGCTACTTGTGGGACCGCCTGGCTTCCCTGAACAGGGCCTGTGGGGCGACTCACGTTGGTGATGAAGGTCCCAAAGCACTGCACTATGTAGGGGCAGTCATGGCTCTTGAGCACCACGTCCAGGTCCATGAGGATCCGCTTGTTCTCCTCCTTGTTCCCCGAGCGCCGCATTTGCTGCACGGGAGGGCGGGAGGCCTCAGCTGTGGGCTGTGGGGTGCCAGGCCCACATAGGGCAGGGGCTGCGGCTCACCTTGACTGCAATGATGTGCCCTGTCTTCCGGAAGCGCATCTTCCACACCTGGCCGCACGTGCCGCTGCCCATCTCGCCCAGGTTTTCCAGGTCATTGATTTCCGCCTGGTAGCGCTGGCCAGGAGAGCGAGGGCTGGAAGGTTTGCTGGGCCTCTGCCCACCCCCACCAAGGGGACCCAGGACAGCCGCACACCCACCACCTGCCCGCCCCCACGGTGCCGAGGGAAGGTGGGTACCTGGCCCCCAATGGTCAGGTAGCCAGTCTGCTTCATAATCTCCTGCAGCTTCTGGTCAATCTCAATGCTGGGGGGACAGGGAGTGGGCGCTGTGGGGAGTCCGAACCAACCTGTGGCCACCCCCAGATTTCACCACTCTCTCCCCCTGGCAGAGACCCTCCCCACACTGACCCCGGCCCTGCCAGCTCACCTCTCCATGCTGCGGGGCGTGTACAAGGCGGACGGAAGCCCCAGCATGTGGCGGGGCCGGACGGGGGGCGTGGGGTGCTGCGGGGAGCTCTCTGAGGATGGTGAGCGGCTGCCCCCATCATTGGCCAGCGGGAGCTGCAGGGCTAGGGGGGTGAGAACCGGGGTGGGGCAGGGTTAGCTGCCAGCACCAGGACTGGGCCCTCACTGTCCCCTTCCTGGCCTCTGCAGGAAGGCCAGCAGAGACCCCTGTTGCCCGCTGGGCTGGAGGGGCTGGGGCTGCCCTCCCCACCCCGTGGGCCATTCTCAGGGTGCCTTCTCCCTACTCCCCTCCCCTACACAGAAAACAGGAAGGAGGCTGGTGGGGAAGGGGTGGCACCCAGAGGCTGAGGGCACATCCCCATGTTTATACTGACAGGGTGGCTGAGACCTGATGGCGTCCCTTGCCAGGCGGTCTCCCTGGAGTGTCCGTTTGGTTCCCACTTCCACCCAGGAAGCGGACCCAGGGCCTCAGTGCCCACATTCTGGACCAGCTGGGAGGGAACACTGCCAGGATCAGCCTGGGCTCAGGCCCGAGGGTGGCACTGAGCTGACTGCCAACAAGACCCAGGCCAACCACCTGGGTGAGGCGGGCACAGGACCCAAGCTTCATCTCTGCTCCAGGGTTGGGGGCCACCCTCTGGCCAGGAGCTGATCTGGGAGTCTGCCAGTCTGGCTGGCAGAGCTGGGGCCCATGCGGGTGGGTCTGTGTCCTCAGTGAGGGATCCACGTGGTGTCGCCCCTCAGGGGCCACGTGACTGGGGGCGGGTGGGGCCAGGCCAGGCAAGGGGCTTGGTCCCTCCAGCAGCCTGCATGCGGACAGCTTGGGCATGCTACAGGCAAGCGGGCAGGCAGCAGAAACCCCAGGGCGGGCAGCGTTAGGGGATAGGGGAACGGGGTGGGGCAGGAGGCAGACAAACAGGAGCCGAGACTCGGGCCCAGCTGCCCAGAGGAGATGTGGCAGAGATGGGCTGGACAGTGCCCAGGCCAGGACAGTGGGCTCCCCGGGAGCTAGGAGCCCTCCCAGGCTGGGCTGGCGACAGGGAGGGGAAGTGGAGGACGGAAGCTGGGCAAGACCCCAGAACCCTGGGAACCAGGGGGTGGAACCCCACTGAACCTGGGACCCAGAGACCTTGGCATCTAGAGAAGGAAAACGACTACAAACACCCTCCAAGGGTCCCTCCTGTCTGCCATGCCCCTCTCTACACCTCCTGTCGCATCTACTTTTTTTTCCCACGGTGCTGCAGGCACCTGGACACGTGGCCCAAGTGATCAATGAGTCAAGACAAATATGCTTGAGATGCTGGTGGTGGGGACCCTGGCCTCAGCTGGAGGGAGGAGGCCGGTATCTGACCCTGCCCTGCAGGCCTGGGGTGGTGGTGCAGGGACTGCTGGGGCCAGGCAGGAGCACGGAAGAGCTCTGGGCCCCAGAGGATGTGGCCAGCCAGCACCTGCCACACAGCATCCCCTCCTCCGGCTCTGCTCTGGCAACTGTGGCTGGACTCAGAGCCCCAGCCTCTCCTTCTTCAGCTCAACAACCTTCTGGGGCTCCTGAGGGCCCTCTGTGCTCCCCCACTCCCAACGTCTGGGTGCTCTCGAGGAAGACACTGACGGGGGGATTTGGGCCCTTTTCTACCTGCACCGTCAGCTCTCGGGGGTGGGGGAGGGGCTAGGGCCATACCCCCACCCTCTCCACACCTCACGAAGCCCTATCAATCCCCTCCCTTGCATAGTCCACCAGGCCCCCTGAGGGCTGCCCCAGAGCCCAGGGAAAGGGCTGCTGGGGACAGAAGCTTCTAGCCATTCCCACGGACTCTGAAGCATAGTAGGACTTGAGGGGGCCAGTGAGGGGTGCCAGGGGGTGGGGGGTGAAGAGACACACAAAGGCCCTGAGACAGAGATCACAGAGGTGGTGACGGGCCACACGGCAGGTCAGGACGGTGGAGAGCAACAGGGTGAACAGAGACGGAGAGGGAGAATGACAGCATGGAAGCAAGAGCAGGCAGGAGGGCCCCGACGCATGTGCGCACACACACGCATGCACACTGGGACGTGGCACAAACCCCTGCCACGTGCAGATGGGCAGAGATGCTAGTCGTGGATACAGCCAGCTTCTCCCCCATGCACACACACAGTGACCAACAAGATCAGACCCTTCACCCCAGTCTCTCTCCCAACACAGACTACCTTGCACACACGTGCGCACACACACCCACGTCCCAAGCGAGGCTCAGGAGGCCTTGACAGGGCTGGTCCCTCCCCACCTTCTCAAGAGGCTCCCCGACCCCCTACTGCCAAGGCCCCTTCCCAGCTCTTATGTCCTCTTTTCTCCAAGGCGCTCATGTCCTTCTAAAGCTCTGCCTAACGGGCGACAGGTGATGGCTCCCTGGTCACTGGCTGCCTCCGTCTGGAGTGTCAGCACCACACGGAGAGGGATTTGGTCTGTTTTGCTCACTGCTGGGTTCCCAGTGGCCAGAACTGGGCATGGCACACAGTAAGTACTCAACATTTATGGAATTGTTGGAGTAAATGGAATATTCACAGCCACTCTCCTGGGCCAACTCCCTCTTTCACTCACATACGCGCGCACACACACACACACACGCACGACCCCCGTGAGACTCCACTTGGGGGGCGCCTACTCCCCCTCTGGGGAGTCCCAACCTGAGCCCAAGGAGGAGGGAGGAGCAAGAGGTGAGAGGGCAGAGAGGAAGGGGCCGGCGGGGCCGACACTGAGTGTGGAGAGAGAGGAGGTGAGAGTGGGCGTGGGGGGGTGACACGCGCACGCACAGAGCATGGGGGACGGGGCGGGAGGCACGGCATTCTGCGGCCAGGGCAGCGTTAGGTCAATGATGCAGAGGTCCAAGCGGCAATGAAAAAAAGGCCGGTACCTGCTCGTTGGGACGGGGCAGGAGCAGGGCTTAGAGTGATCACAATAACTGGATGGGGAAAAGGAAGAAAAAAAACAACACCACGATAAATCACAACAGAAACAACCGATTTGTCCAAAAGAAAAGAAATCAAATCATAAATGAGTGGGGGGGGGGGCAGGGTGGGAGGCGTGAGGCACCAAACTGCAGAGATGGGTAGAAACTGACAGAGATGGGAGGATGGGATGGAGCGCACACAGACACAGACGCCTGGAGGGGGCTCCTCAGGGCCTGCCCGCCACGGGCCTCGCTCTGCTCCTGGGGCAGGGTCTGCTGGGTCAACCACCCCCTAAGGTACGCCAGGCCCCTACCCAGCCCTGCCTCATCCACTCTGGGAACGGGGAAGCAGCACTGCAGAGCCCAGCAAGGACCCCCCATGTCCTGGCCTGGCTTCCTGGCCTAAGCAGTGTCCAACTCCAGCACCCCAACCCCATGGGGGCCGAAGAGACTCCCCAGTGAGGACACCAGGCCAACCCAGGTCAGAGAGGGAGATAGGGAGTATGCCCAGCACAGGGATACGGGGGGATCAGGCTGGGTGAGCAGGGAGTGAACAGAGCACTCAGATATTGGCGGGGGGGGGGGAGTATCAGGAGATGACCCTACAGAAAAATATCTAAGCTACAAAGGTCATGATGGATAAGAACGTCCCCAAGTCACAGAGGATATAAAAGAGGACAATTTGCTGGGTCAAGAAAGACAAAAAAGGCAATAGGGCTCGGGGTTGGGGCCAAGGGAAGTCAGATTCCTTCCAGCTGAGAGGATTGGGCGGCGGGGAGGTTCTGTGGGACATAACAAGGAGACTAGATGTGACCATGGGGCTCTCAGGCCATGTATGCATATGTAAGGGGGAAGCCACTGTTGACACCTGGTGACAAGATGCCAGGGCAGTGGGCACTATGACAGTATATCAGAAAAAAAATACATATGTGCTGGGACGAATACACAGTATAATGACCACAGGTGACTGCAGGCCAGGTGTGCACGATTGGGGGAGGCTTGGGTGTATGTTTCTGGAAAGTCTAGACGAAGTAACCAGACGGTCAAGATGCTGTGGGTAAAACTGGTCAGAAGAGACATGAGGCGGCCTGGAGGGGGTTACAGTGACTCCAGCCCGGGTTATGTGGGTAGTGCATGTGTGGGAGGGTTGTGCGCTGAACCCAGATGACAAGGTTCCAGGCTGGGGTGAAGGGACCACTAGACACAGCCACAGAAGGAGAGTCGGTGAATCCTCCGGTCAGACGGATGGAGGCATTATATGTGGTCAAGTGACCTCAGGTGTCCCCAGGCCAGGTGTGTGTCTGTCAGTAGAGCTAAGCCTAGATAACAAGGTCCCTGGCTGAGGGCGTGGGGGCGGGGGGGCATCTTGACCTAGTCACTGAGATGGTTGGAGAATCATCTGGTCATGTGTTTGCGGGAGGACCTGAATGTGGTCACGGTCGCGTGGAGTAGAGGGAGCCCGGCTCAGAGTAGGTGACAGAGGCTCCGAGAACCACGGTGATGGGCGGGTCATCAGGTGGGGAGGTCTCACCTGGGACAGGGTAACTAGGCTCCCAGGCCGGGGGTGGTCGCCCGGGCGCGATGGGGTAGCTCTGGGTCGGGGTACCCGCCAGCCCCATGCCCCCCCCGGGTCACCGTGACCCTCGCCCCGACAGCCGACAACGGGGACAGAGAAGAGGCGGAGTGCGAGCTCCCCGGAAGCGGGGGCGGAGCCTGACGGCGGGGGCGGGGCCTCCCGCGGCGCGCGCCCCGCCCCGC